AAACCTTTGCGCTCAAAGCGCGATATGATTTCTGAAATCTGCAATAAAACAAAACTTTCTAAGCCGATTGGAAATAGAACTCACATCAGTATAGGATTCCAAGAACTTACTAATCCAATTCGACTCCATATAGAACATGAAAAGTGCAAAATACTGTTCCAACCACTTAATCGAGAATGAAGGAAAACGCATAATACAGGAATTTATAAGAAATAAAGGAAGCAGCATTTTAACACTACTTAACATACCAAGCCCCTTTGTACTCCATCTGGCTTGATGGCGATGAAGGTACGCTCCATCTTGTACGAAAAATATTGCGTGATGTTAGTTGTGATGAAAAATGAAAATGATGACAAATGCAAGATATAACATCTCAATCAAAGGGAAAGTTAAGATAGTGTACCTCAGCAGCATGTGCTTCTTGCTCCTGGATCATGTAAGCTATATAATAAAGAGAAACAAAACAAATGAAATTAGACTAGAGGTTCCTATTTCTCTGGTAAGCCAATGCATACAGTAAATTCAAATTTTTACCGAAGTTGCATTTTCAGAATGACACAAACTTGAGCAGCAACATTAATTTAACATAGATAAGTAATAAGATATGAACCTGCTGCAGGAAGGGCGAGGATTCCCGAAATCCAACTTCTAGATGAATTTCCGGAGTCAGTCCTGCCATATGAAGCTAAAGAAGGCACAACTCCTCTCAAAGAAACTGTGGCTGCTGCAGCCACTGCTCGTCCCCCTGCAAACAGGACAAGTCATATTCACACAATCAGAGGCGGAGGTAGAGTGCGGGATGCGGGTTGTTCCAACCATGTATTTGTCTTAAGAAATCCATTGAAATGTACAACTTATTAATTTAGAATCCGGTAACTTAGAAGGATTATAATTCCGAACCCATAAGGTTCTAATTCTGGCTCCGCCTCTGCACACAATTACTTGTTTTTCTGCTTTGATAGGTAACTTATTGCTCGACAAATATAAAGGTAAAGACCACTAGTAATAATCAATCAGATCTATCTCCTCCATTGTTCCATAAGACTTAACATTCTCAAATATCCACTAATCATTGTTTCCTCTTAAACATAAACACCAATCTACTGAAGGAAGGGGAACACCGGCGAGACATCAAAATAAGCGTGCCAAATTGCAAATAAATGAATTACAGACAGATATAAAGACCACTCGGTCTTCCTTTTCTATTTTCTTCCAATAGTTCGACCTATCCAGAAAAATTGTCGGCCTACGAATGTGGTTTCGATCCTTCCGGTGATGCCAGAAGTCGTTTTGATATAAGATTTTATCTTGTTTCCATTTTATTTATTATTCCTGATCCGGAAGTAACCTTTTCCTTTCCTTGGGCAGTACCTCCCAACAAGATTGATCCGTTTGGATCTTGGTCCATGATGGCCTTTTTATTGATTTTGACGATTGGATCTCTCTATGAATGGAAAAGGGGTGCTTCGGATCGGGAGTAACCACTAGTNTTGATCCGGAAGTAACCTTTTCCTGAGTATCAACCTAGAAGCTCAAAAGCTTAGATATCATGATTGAAAAGCTCAATGCTTCCCGCGCGCAGATCAAACACATCAACGATCCCAAAGGAAGCCATAGGAATATCTAGGATTTTAAATCAATACACTTCACAAAATATAAGTCACTCATAAAAGAGGTCACTTCTCAGGTAATTATAGCTAAATCTCTTAATAAGCATTAATTGATAATCTGGTAAAATTGATATATGTTATAATTTACTCATAGACTCATAGTCCGGGGAAGGTCACACCCCAAATGAATGTAATGTAGTGAGTCTACCTGATGCAAGTATCAACGACTGAACCTGTAACCTATAAGTCCTACGAAAACAACTTTATTTGTTGCTCCAACGCTCCGTTTCATAGACTCACAGTGCAAAAAAAAAAAAAAAATTACACGGCATCCAAAATTTTATATACATTTATAAAAGGAGCTATAAGCGAGGAATAAGGAAGGAATAAATTGTAATTAAAAGAGAAATGGAATGAAATATTTTACCAGAAAAAGCACGAGAACTCTGCTTAGAATAAACAGAAAACAGAGTTTTAGTAGCTCGTGAAGCAGATCTGCAAATCTGAGAATTCATCTTTCAACAAAAGAAACACAAATACTAATGCACTCTCTTTTGAAGAGTGAAAGAAGAAAGGAATGAATAGTGATTGTGATATGAGTGAGCTTTTATTTGAGGCAATTGATTTGGAGCACGTTTGGCCAAGCTGCAAAAATCATTTCGCAACTACTTTTTTCAAAAAAGAAAAGTAGTTTTTGGCGAGAGAATCAGTTCGTGTTTGGGTAATTAGTTTGTAAAGCATTTCTGAGCACCAATTAGTGTTTGGCCAAACTTTAAAAAACTGATTCTAAGTCTATTTTTCTCAAAAGTGTTTCTCAAAAAAGTACTTTTGGAGATAAGCTTATTTTTTTCTGCTTCTCCAAAACTACTTCTGCTTCTCCTCGAAAGTACGTTTTTTACTTACAAAAGTTTGGCCAAACAACTCAATTTTGTGTCAAAAGTATTTTTGGCAAAAAAAAAATACTTTTGGCCAAAAATAAGTTTGGCCAAGACTATTAATGCACACGATGTTCACGCGCTAAGTGGGAGCGTGGCAGGAGAAAGTTTTGGGCTTTGATTGGGTCAAATCTTAGCCGTAGTTGTTGGGCTTAATTGAATGAATCAGATTCGTTGTTTTGTAGTTACGACTTCGTATCTATGTTGCTTTCTCATTAGATCTGAAACACGTGCATTTGTTTTATTGGTTAATTAATCAATATTTTTACCTCATTAAATTACTTAATCGCGATAAGTTGATATCGTTTGGTGTACTCATCAAGTGAGGGTAAGCAATGGCGGAGCAAACTTTATTAGGTGCGAGTTCGGCCGAACCTAATCACTTTTGCTTAAATATTATATTTGTATTAGAAAATTCATTAAATATATGTAAATATTTAATTGTGAATCCACTAACTAAGACGAGCTATAGGTTCTGTGACAAATTTAAAACTCATAAACTTCAGATCATGTTCCACCTTGAAGGGTAAGTATATATCATGTTTAAAAAGGTTCTTTAAAAACCATTGTTTTTAATCAACTTTTGAATATCTCGATTATTTTCTGAATATTTGTTTATTTTCGACCAACACGAGTAACGGATAATTTGAGTTGTGATTGGAAAATCTTTAAAATGTCAATCCAGTTTTTTTTTTTTTTTTAAAAAACAAAAAAAGAGGAGGTGTGAAATATTTATCTAGATTGAGTTAATCCCATAGCTGCAGTTCTCTTGAAAAACAATGTACCTGAATGTTGGTTAAAATGTTATTGAAATATATCTATAAAGTAATCAAAGAGTAACGACTAATCATTCTTATTCGTTGATTGTGTCCGACTGGATTCTTTACTTCATTATTCCCTTTTCCATTTCATAAGTACATTAAATTTATTATACGATGGTTTTCTTTTCTTTAGATAATCTTATCCAGGTACTAGTATTCTCCGAGCACCAAGTTGGCTTTCTTATACTTACTGTTCTCTGTCAACGCAAGCAAGCTTTCATTCAATTATACGATTCAATTTGTTCTCATTGCAAATTGTGATTTTGATATCGGCTTTGATTCAATTTGTTCTCACTGCAAATTGTGATTTTGATATCGGCTTTCCCGCACTGCACTGACAGTTTAGTCCAGCATGCCGAGGGGACCTTCAGTTGGTGAAAAGTAATCACACAAAAATCAGTTGATTTGCCTTACGTCGCCCTTCAAAGACATCTCAGGAAGACACCACGTAATAGTTTATCATATTTTTATTCTACATAGTATCCAACATTAAATAATATGTAAAAGATCGCACAAACTATGAATTGATAATGCAGAATTGATACCAAAAATCAAACTCGAGTTTTTTCTTTTTTTCCCTAACTGCAAGAAGTCGGTTCAATTTATTCCGTATAACCTAAGTCGACGTTACTAGCACCATAACCATTATTAAACCTGAGAATGCAATACGTAAACAGAGCATAGACAGCGAATTAGAGAACAACAAACGCAAACAAAACAAAAAAGTCAGATAAAGCCTTTGAGTGCAGCAAAAACAACAATAACAACCTAGGGTAGTGTGTACTCAGACCTTACCCCTACCTGAGGTAGAGAGGCTGTTTCCAAATAGAAACCCCCGGCATCCTTCCCTCCAAGAACTTCTCATCTTACTCTTGGGGAGACTCGAACTCACAACCTCTTGGTTGGAAGTGAAGGTTGCTTACCATCAGAGCTACCCCTCTTGTCTTAAAAAAGACCAAATCAAACATTACATGAAATAGGAGGGAACAGCAAACCAAAATAAATCACTTGATGAATGATGCCTCTGCGCCAATTAGTTAAAGTAGACTATATGAATCGCTTATCTGTGCCTTTAAGTTTTGTCATTCCACTACTGAATAATACTGTTCTAAGACAAATTATAGGTTCTCTAGACAAATTATAGGTTCTAATCTCACACTTACCCTTACGCGAACATACTACTTTCTAAGCAGGATGAAAGGACTAAAGTAAAAGGGCAAATGAACCAAAAGCAGGAAAGGACAAATGACAGAACAAAACCAAATAACCAGAAAATGATCACAAGTAAATCACAGTACAATAGCACAAACTTGGTGTTTAGGTATCATATAAGCTGGAAAATAACACACCCCAAAAAGCAGCACACGCGAGCATGCATAAGAGGAACCTAATCCTCCAAGAAAAAAGACCAATCAAAACTCACATCAACTGCCTCAAACAATGCAATATTATTTCAAATGAAACATGATGTAATGAACAGACAAGTAAAAGCTATTTGCATGTGTACCTGATTTTTCCAAAATGCGTGAGCGCATCAACTACCATTCCAAGTTAAAGAAACCTTTCTGCCGGAGAAAGGCCTTAGGGACCATAGTTCCTTGCATGAAACAGGCTCAATAAATGGGGAAAAAGCATTTTCAAGAAAAATTTCATTTATTAGCTAATAGCAGCAGGCAGACAAATAATAAGAGAAAGAGCGGCATTTCAAAAACTTATGGCAAAATAAATTGTCTCAATGTGTACTTTCAGGAGAATGATGTATCCGACTTAAATTTACTGACCCAAACTCAATTGACTCTGGCATCACTGCCTCAAACGCCTCAGAAGACACATAGGGCAATAGCAAAGGATCACATTTAACATCAACTATCTCCTTTTCCTTCTTAAAATCATCAGAAAAATTCCCCACGGAATCATTGCTCCTATTCAAATCTTTAGACATCTCAGTTGGAGACTCAGAAGATCCTTCCACCTCTTCAGCAGACAGGGGATTTCCCTCCTCGGCTACACCCAGAACTGTTTCCCCTTCCATCCCAACACTTTCCGCCGTGGAAAGACGAAATTCAGATTTCTCCTCTCCGTCAACGGTCATTGGCTCTGATGTCTCAGGACAGCTTGATTTTGAAGAACCTACAACCCCCAGATCACCATCTTCTTCTAGCATGTTCCCAGCCATGGCAGGCTCCGTAGTTTCACCGCATTCTGAACTGAAATTCTCGAACTTATGTCCTGGATAAGCCTTTCCGTCCTGACCAGGAAATGACCACTTCTTGCAATTCATGACTTTAACTTCTCTTCTCTCCTGGTAAAGGGACAGCGCTTTCTGCAATTGAACATCATGCAATAGACAAATTTAATGGTGCAACTTTATGCTTAGAAGAGAAATTTGATTCATATTTACCTCAGCAAAAAAAGAGAAATAAATTTATTAATTCCGTTTCACAGCTAAGAAGAGCCGGACAACTTTACCAATACACAACTAAGAAGACATGACTGAGATAGTATGTCAAAGATATAGTTGATCGAAATACTCTTTTTCAAAGGACATGTGCATATGTACCACAGGATAAAGTACCTGAAAAACAGAATCAGTCATAACAGCAAAAGGTGGACCACTTGAAAATTTACTTGGTATCGTTATGGAGGCTGCTACATGCCCCTGCCACAGGAAAAAGAAAGCTTATTATGATTTCAAAAATGAGAACAATGAATAAGCAAAGAAATAACTTTGCCTCTCCTTACCTCCAAAAACAAAATTCTGGAATCATCAACATAAGATGTCATTTTCTTATCGACATCGATTAAACTTATGCATTGATCAAACAACTCAGGCTCTGTAAGCTCTGCAGATATATCAAGCTTTGAGAGGTAAACATGACAAAGAAGAGAATCGTCTTTCTCCGATGGCTTCACCTCAATTGGTTGCTCTTCAGGAGTAGTCTTCAAATTTTCAGATGTACTCTCCCCAAGAGCACCCCTGGACTGACTGATGTCATTGCTTTGATCATCTGCATCAGTCTGCTTTTGCTCACTCTGAACTGGTTGAGCTGACTCCTCTTCCTGAACTGAATAGTCCTCCTTCTGTGAACCAGATGGCAGCTCCACACTGCTTCCTGTTAGTGGCCCCTTCCACGCATCACTTATCTCCCAACTCATACCACTATTTGACAGTGTCCTAGGCTGGTCCCAGTCTGGTCTGCCATTAAGGTGAGCTTCTTCACCAGAAACAGCATTGTTAGCATTCCACCCATGCATTGGAGGACCGCATGAACCATCAACTGGAGTTCGCCAACCCATCGGTCGAACATGGCCAGGAAAATGGTCAGCATCTGGTATATGGTAAGTAATTCCAGGGTGACTCAAGTCCATTGAAGGTCTCCCACCAAATACTGGTGGTGTAGGGAACTGCGGTATCATTGGATGAAAACCAACAGGAGGGGGACCATGTTGGAAAGGCATGAACCCATTTGCAACAGGCAACGGCCAGTTTGGAACCCTCTTCCAACCATGTCCTTGCATTCTTCCAATATTAGGATCATTAATTCTTCTGTGGTGGTTGTTTGACTTCCCTCTACCATCATCCTCTGAAAAGCCAAAAATCAAAGGGCTGTCACCCCCTGACCTAAAGGGGGGAGGAGCAGGCAACACAGACTTTGAATTGACAGAGAAGTGACTCCTTCTAGTATAAGGTGAAGAAACAGAGACATTATCTCCATCTATAAAGGACAAGTTATCACCTGCGAGTGCTTTCCCAACCAAGTCACGGCTTCCTCTGCCTTCCTTTACATCCCGGGAGCCACCACTCCTCTGTGTTGATTCCTCAGCTTCAAGGGTCCTCCATACTTCTGATCTACTTGAGTGTCTCCTATCATAGCTTGCTGATGAAGGGGATTTATCCACCTGCTGTAAAGGAGAACTGCAAAGATCTGATTTGAAACGCCTTTCAGCTGAAGACTCTCCGAGAATATTGTCTTCCCTTTGCATCAGTTTCTCCGTTTTCCGAGAAGAAGAATTTTTCTCCACTGCTCCAGCAGAACCAGCATAATCTCTAGTGACGCCATGTCGAACCCTTTCCTCATAAGGATAATCCTTGTGCTTAGATCCATCTTGCTTTGAGAACCTGGTAGTCGAAAGAACGGCCGAAAATGTCAGATTTGTGCACAAAATGATAAAGCAAGGAAACACATAGTTATACACAAGAAATTAATGACCAGAGAATAAGCAATTTGGCAGAAAAGCAGAAAATGCTCATTAGACAATACTTAAGTGACTGGCTTATGATCAAAAGAGATTATCAAAGGAAGATGTTTTGATTCTCCAATATAATACACAGCAGTGTGCCAATCAGACGGTCATTCGAGCCAGGGAACCATAAGCACAAAGAATCACCCGCCCGGAACTTCTAACTAAACGTGGCATAAAACTGCCAATAAGTTATTTACCTTTTCGGGGAAAAAGGCCAAGAAGATAATTATGACTTGCAGCCAAAACTAATGAGATAAACTATAAACAATGTCTCAATTATCCCACTGATCAGTCAAAAACCTCCCAGAACAAATTTCTTGCAATATAAAGGGTTAATGACTTTTCTGGCATTCCTACATCACAAAGAGGTCCATCCAACATCTCAATTATCCCACTGATCAGGCAGAAATTCCAGGAAATACCAACTTTAGTGCCACTAGATATTCCTTTTACTCCAGGGACTGTCGCTATCGTTCGAAATAGTCATTTTGTTACCAAAAAGAATGAGAGAAGTTTGATTAATGTGGTACAGAATACAAGTTTCCCCTAAAAAACAGAGAAAAATAATAGAAGGGTCCAAAAATATCTAGAATGATCATTCCATGTACCACAACCAAGGATTTCAGTATCCGCTCTAATAAAGAACACAACTATGCCCATGCACATCTATCATTCTTTTCATTTTCACAGTATCATGTGAGAAAACTGGTAAACTTGCCTGTAATAATCCCTTGTAGCATGAGATCCAGAACTAGGTGAAGTCCAGCGTCTGTTGTTGCTCGGAACAAGTTCTATTTCAGCATTCCTGGAGATAGATCTTCCGCTCTCAGTGACCAAGTCTACTGTAGCACTGCTCATGGATCTCTTCTCTGCATCAGATCGTAGTTCTTTAATACTTCGAGATCTAATATCACCAATGTCCTCTTTAGCACCGGTTCTTCTTCTTCCTCTGTCATCTTTAAACCTTGTTAGATCATCATAACCAGGGCTGCCTTCATGCTTACTTGACTTTCTAGGCTGCAAATCAGCAGCATAACTCTCATCCCTCGGATGCTTAGCACCAGACCTGTCACCTAAACGGTCTCTTGGAGCACGTTCATCCTTGTACTTTGCATACCTGAGTCTCTTGTCTTTGTCATTTTCATCTGCTTGCTTGTCATCCCTGCGTCTACTATCTCTTTCACTGGCTTCTCTGTACTTGCTATTCCTCTGCCTATCATCTCTTTCAACATCTTCATGATATATATCTTCATTGTGACAGCCATCTTTATCTCCATCTTCTCGATACTTATCATCCCTATGCCTATCATCTTTATCGCTATCTTCACGATACTTTTCATCCCTATCTCTCCTCTCTCTTTCACCATCTTCGTGATACTTATCATTCTTGCGCCTACTATCTCTGTCACCATCATTGAGATACTTCTCATGCATGTGCCTGTTATCTATTTCACCATCCTCCTGGTACTTACCCTCTCTATGTCGACCATCTCTATCACTATATTCCCGACTTTTTTCATCATGCTGTCTTCTATACTTGTCCACATCCTCTAAATACATAGCATCCCTATCCTTGTCATCTTTACCACCATGCTGATGCTTATCTCCATATCCATCTTTATGTTTTCCATCTCTCTGCCTTTCATCTTTACTACGGTCACACCTGGATGACGACCGTCTACTATCACTTTCGTTTAAAACATCTACATATTTGTCTCGATCACCAGAGCCTTCTCTTCTCTTCCGTGACCTTCTCTCACTTTCCTTCTCCACCTCAGGATTATATAACTCATTTTGTGTAGACCACTCTACAAAATCCAACAAAAATGAAAAGATTTTAAAGGTAACACTCAGTAATTTCTCATTAAAGGGAAAAGAAAAAAAAAAGACTAACCAACACATAACAATTTGACCAATGATGTAGAATAACAATGCACAGTAGACACTTTACATACATGCAAGATGATATCGAAATACATGCATTACATAATGTACATATACTGATAGAGTTATTAACTTATTATTGAGTCCAAGTCAAAGTAACATCAAAACTGTTACATGCAGTTGTAACACAAGCTAAAGTTGGTGGCCTTTAGCTTCATACCAGATCATTGGAACTCATGCATTCATGGTCATGTTCGTAAAGTTCAGATCATTATTTATTTATCTTTGTTTCTTTGCATGTATCTTTTGTTCTCTTTTGTTACATAGGATCTAAAAGTTGATTTTTCATCTATATGAAACTCTTGTGTTTGTTATCTTTCATTATTTTCCTTTGTGAACTTTCTACAAAGTATAATAATAAACGTAGCAATCCATCAAAAACGCAATAATTCTGGCATTTTCCACATAGTATTTCCTAAGCACCAGTGACTATATACTCAAAGCCAGAAGGTTTCTAGGTTCGGTTTTCCCACCACTGCTGGTAACTACATACGAGCTCCTTCTAATTCAAATATGACTAAAACAAGCCATCCTCTAGTCTAGGAAAAGCATTAAAGTTTCAACCTTTCATAATTAGGTATGCAGAATTCAACAAGAAATGCAATGCTTACCACTTAAGTATCATAGGATTTCAATCGAATTGTTGTTCGTACTACCAAAAACTTACTGCTAACTGAAACCTAGGAGAATTTTTACTCAAAAGGCAAAGGGGGCTTTGGGGTACCAAAACCTTGCCAAGCACCACATAATGCTACCTAAACAAAATACCAATCACAAAAAACACACAGATAAGTCACCTTACCAGCATTTTCTTTACCTCTTTTGACCTGCTTCTCATCAACAGAATCCCCTGATTGCCTCTTCAAACTGTTTTGACTCTTCTTCTCTTTTTCTGATAATCCTATCTCTTTTTCCTTTACTTCCCTTGAATCCTTACCCTCTTTCCGGGCCGAATACTTCTCAGATTTCCTCTTTGCTACCCTTCCACTCTTACTGTCCTCTTTCTCCACCAATGAGGCAACAACATTCTCCTCTTTCTTCTCTCTACTACTCTCCTGCCTTTTACTACATTTACTCTTAGAATCAGCCAGATTCTTCATTTCTTTTTCTTTTAATCCCTTCTCAGCATCAATTTTCAAACTTTTTCCCTTCATTTCTTTGCTTTCACCATTTCCATAGCTAATCAGATCTTTACCAGAAGTTTTACGCTTCTCAACGGAAGTTGCTGAATTCTCCTCCTTACTACTCCTCTCCGTCATCTTCATATCCTCGTCAGAATCCGAACAGTCTCTACTCCCCTTAGCACTGTGTTTACTCTGCTTGTGCGATTTCTGCTTCGAACTTTGAGGCATAACTCTAAAATTCCCCAAACATAGCCTTTTTCTTAATTCAAAGCCCTACAAGTATTACAGCACCACTACAATACTCATATTCGAAGCGTAGGTGTCAAATTCCTAAAGCCTTTTTCATTTATTCAAAACCGAAGAAATATTACAGCACCACTACACACATAAAATTCACTAACGCGCCGCCACTAGACATCCAATTCGCAGCAGACTACCGCTGCCGGTGACAGTCAAATCGCCGGAAATTTCACCAATTTGCAGAAACTTTTGACCTCTTTATCGCATACGTATAAATTTCCAGCCGCAACTGTAAAATTCCAAAAATTAAGCTTTTTCAAACCAAAATCCTAAAAGTACCTCCACAGCACACTTATATCGATTCCACTAGAATCACGCGCCGTTAATAGAGAACCAATACCAATTCGACAAACGCCGACGGTACCGGTTGACTCGCCGGAAATCCGACGAACTTGCAGAAATTTGACCTTCACTCAAATCGTCCGATAACCGTATACGTATAGAAAACCGTATAGGATACGTATAAGTTGAGTTTATATAGAGAGTGAAAATGCAGAGAAAATGTGAGCGAGAGAGATATTGGAGGCGACGGTTTGTTTGCTGGGAAAGTAAAATGTGATTTTTATTGGAGTGTGTAATGACGGAAATACCCTGAAGGGAAGTTTATATCTACAGTTGAATTTCTATTGACACGTGATGACCTGATTATTTATATCTACAGCAGAATCTGTATTTGATTTTGTTTTGCAGGAATTGTTGGTAATTTCATTATATCTACTCTGTTATTTTATTATGCATTTTTATGGTACTAATATATCGTCTCTTATTGCTTTTTTTGAGCTGAGGGTCTCCTGGAAACAGCCTCTCTACCCTTCGGGGTAGGGGTAAGGTCTGCGTACATATTACCCGCCCCAGACCCCACTTGTGGAATTATACTGGATAGTTGTTGTTGTGTTGTTGTTGTTTCTCTATTTAGTCAACAAATTGAAATTACTATTGATTTTTTGAGGTTCAGATTCCCAAAATTTTCAAAAAGAATCTGATTTTGGTGAATTGGTTTGAAGATGAAAATCTGTTTGGATATAATTTTTCAAAATATATTTTACTTATTTTTAAAAAAAATGAAATGTGACTTATACTCATAAATTCTAAAAGCTATTAAAAATACCCAACAATACCAAGCAAACAAACTTGCTAATCATGTATATGCAGAACCTTCATCGATGTCATTCATTATCATTATCACAAACCATAGTCCTGAACTTAGATAAGTTTGGCACAAAATTATTATTTTTATAATGAACTACATAATGCACTATCCTAAAATCATAACCGGTTATTTTAATATTAATTGCTAATAACACAATTATCGCCCACTATAATTTATCAAATTGCAATAATATTACAAGATCCATCAGTCCAAAAAAATGATAGTAATTAGCCGGTTGATTAGTTGGGTCATAATAGATGGTGGGCTTTATTGTAAAAAAATAAAAGTTTAAGGTAATTTTTGAAATTGTTAAAAAATCCAACAGTAATATTTTGGGCCAAAAACAGGTCTAGAGCTAGTTTTGGGATTTGAAATTTTTGTTTTCAAAATCTACCAAAACATGAATAAAATCTATAAACAAACATGTTTTGCCAAAATAAATTTGGAAAAAACTTAGCAAAAACTATGACAAACGGGGGCAGAAAAAAAAGGAACCTTTTTACCTATAGCGCATGCTTGGATTGGATAAACGTCTCAGCCTAACGGGCGTCTAGTCAAGTTTGACGGGATATAGCACATATTTGTCCATCCTTACAACACCCCCAATGAATCCAATGCCTATCATCTTCAACTTCTCTCCATTTTCTCTCTTCTTTAGCTTTATATTTTAGATTAGTTATGTCGCATGCGTCACAAAATTCAATTCAATTCAATGCATTCCATAAAATGCTATATTTGTTACTGTGAAGATTACTGTAAGTTGAGGACTCGCCCTAGGCAATTAGTCCAATGCATGGTAGGCATGCGCTACACCGGTTAAACTTGACCAGACATCCGTTAGCTTAGGACGTAGCGCATGCCTAGAGGTAAAAAAAAAATCGCGTTACTTTGATTCTTCAAGTTGAATTATACTTTATTTTGGTTCTAGGCTGCTTTGTTATTACTTCTATCTAATAGTAGAAGTATAATTTAGTGTAATAATTCTCGAACATATAATAATTTTTGAACATAAAAGAATCGTTTAGAATAAGATATTAGTCAATCATCAATAGCTATGCGCAAAATGTACATTAATTATGATTAAGTGAAGAAGTTTATAAATTAAAAAAATTTGATACACATCATATATTTATCTAGTTGATGCGTTGTGAGTAAAAGTTTTTTCTTTAACTCAAAAAAAATGAAAATAAGGACATCTAGTTCAAATTGCACATAGATAAATACTCCACATAGTATACTACCACGTGATGAGGGTGGTAAGAGATCTCGTGATTAAGCCCTGAAAATAGAATTGTTAGGAAGCATTTAACCCCAAAGTCTGAGTTCCTTATGTGAATTCAAATTTATCAAATATCAAAGGGCGCACCAAACATCGGATGTTCAAAAATATCAAACACTAGATTTGTGGTTAGCATAAGGACAGAATCACTTCCTTCCGTTACTGCACTTCCCCTCCGGGGCATGCTCTAAAGCACGGGAGAAATTCAAAAATAGCCAAATTTACAAGCGATCATTCAAAAATAACCACAATTTCAAAAGTAATCAAATTTAGTTATTTTTCATGTAAAGATAAATCTGAACAAAAACACTATTCAAAATCTGGAAAAATACTCCAATATAATATACTGGAATCCCAGTATAATATACTGGAGTTCCAATATAATATACCGATCCAGTATATTATACTAGAACTTTCCGCGTGTTGGAAGTCCATACACAGGTGCACCGATCTCCAATATATTATGTTGGAACTTTCCGTGTTGCAGCAAAATAGTAGCTATTTTTCAATGACTTCGCAAACGCTGACTATTTTTGAATGACCAGTCCAAAAAACTGACTAGCCCGTGCTATTTTTACCTAAAGCACATCTCTTGAGAAATTATGGTTGCATTCCTCTTCCTTTCAGCTCTCCCAAGCCTTCAATTCCACCACCTCTTCTTAATATTTGAAGTTGAAGTTTGAAAAGATTTGAAGTTATGGAAAAGTTTATTCAAGTTCAAAATTTCATTTCAATTTCATAAACGAACGTCAACTTGCAAGCTGAAACTTTAATCTACAAACAAAACCATCAACATTTCCATCTTCAACTTCAACTACACCGACTGCAAGATTCAAATCTATATGAGATACTAAGAGGCAGAGGACTCTGTAATGGAGAACAAGGCCTCCAACAGGAATGACAGAAGTCAGTCTCCAATGAATCATATTCATCTACGGCTGCTAAAGGTAGTCAAGGAAATCCTGCATCTGGGATTTTCCCAGAAGATACACTCGAGAAAGAAATGCTGGTGTTTAATATGTTCAATTCTGCAATCATAGATTAATTATTGGTCGAATAGCCTAGGAGACGCTTGTACTAGTTTCGGATTGTCATTCCGGTCTCTACACTCCATAAAGTTTCATCCAGACACCTCAACTTAATCAAAACAAGACTTTTAAACCCCTTCGGATAGGTGTGATGCTCACTTGCTTGACGAATCAGCATCCACATCAGATTCTATGCCAAAATAATATTTCTTAACAAAATTTTAATTTCATAAATAAAAAAATAAAAAAAAATAAAATAAAAAAAGCAAAAAATTAAAGAAAACCCCCTCATCCCTTCTTCAAATCACCCACTCAACCTTCTTAAAAGAATAACCCACCTGTCATGGCTTCCACCATGAGTACCACCACCTCCTTCACTCCTCTTTTAAAGAAAGCTATCTATCGATGAAAAATCCTCTTGAAAAATACATGAGGAGAGAATTAATTCTTTTGAATTTTGACTTATTCCTCTACCCCAATTTGGAAGGGTTGTGAAAAAATTTGAAAGTTTAGACCACCGAAAAAAATGAAGGAGTCATAGAGAAGGGGAAGATAACATGATAGAAGAAGAAATACACACCAAGGATAAAATCTAATGGAAGAAGGGATGAAGAAAGATGAAGAAAAAGGGGAAGGGCGGGGATCTAAAGAAGAAGAAGAAGAATAGAAGGGGGTGGAGGGGGGAAGAGAACAAAGGGGGAGGGGATCTGAAGAAGAAGAAGAAGAGAAGGGGGTGGGGTGGCAGAACGAAGGGGNGAATTATGCTAGTATTTTTTTAATTTTATTTTTTAATAAAGAAAAATCATCAACTCACGCACCGAATGTGCGTGTAAATCACTCATTTTGTCCACTTCAGCCATATCAATGCCACATAAGCTCGATCAGTAGTCAGAAGGGTTTAAAAGTTTTATTTTGATCAAGTTGAGGTGTTTGGATGAAACTTTATGGAGTATAGGGACCGGGATGACAATTCGAAACTAGTACAAGTGTCCTTAATTATTTAATTCAATTTTCTTCATGTGCGGGCTTGATTCCTCTTCTTCGTCCAGGCATGTGCAAATATTAGTGCAAGTGCCTTGTAGAATCATATGACCACCTTATCTGAAAATTTCTGCAAACTCTATAATCAGATGGTAGAGAATCCTTTATAAAAGCCTATCAATGCAACAAGATAGTTGAGCAAGCCAGGTTTTCCCATTCCATTCATAACAAATTATTAACAATCATTAATCAAAAACATTTGTTGCTGAAAAGGGTCACTGGTTCCAAGAAGTACAACAGTTAAAACATAAACGCAAAAAGGTAGTCACCAAGTCACTGAACATAAGCCAGAAGTAGTGAACTGTGTCGTCTCATTGAAGGTAATTTGCCTGAAATCAGATGCAGCCACCCAACTGCAAAGAAAAATAATTAGACAGTTGAATTTACTGAATTGAAAGGCAAAAGAAAAATGGCAAATACTACAATTCAGACAAAGGTGATTTTGTTTTTCCGATCATGCTTGTTTTTCCGATCATGTTTGAAAGTTCATTTTGTTTCTCACTCCAAATTTGGGATTTTACATACAACTATTTTTTGTCCAACACCTAAAAATTACTCCATAAAGAGCTTTGTATTAAACGTAAATTGCCAATATATGAATGTCAGAAAGTTCAAAACTATTTATTAACAGTTGATATGTACCAAAATGGAATCAATTTCCTCCTGAGACACGGGTGTTCTTTTGGGTTGGTCAGAAGCCTTCCCTGCAGCAGACATGCTAGATGGGGACCTTGAGAAAAATGTTCGAGGAGCTTCTTCAGCTGCTGAAGTTTTCTGATGTTGGGAATTCTGGGATGTGGAACCTGCAGAACAAAAAGAACCTTCACTTTTAGATCAAGAAAGTGTACAAGCAATCAAGCATATTATCCAGATAAAAGCTAAAAGCATTATATAACCCATTCTCTATCGTTAACAAACAAGATCCACAACTGGCACCTACTTTTCCTGTTCCTGTGATGATAGAAAATAATTCCAAGAGGGAAAAAAACAAGTTCATTATGCATCATTTAATTGAAAAGGCTAAAATAAGATATTAGTTACAACAAGCATGAGCAATGAAGAGCAAAGGACTTAGGCAGCATGAAAAAGAATAAAAACAGTTGCTACCCCAGGATTAAAACAATCGAACAGAAAGAGGAACAAAGGGATATGATTGAACACTACCACAATGGGTTGTAGCAGTCAGTTACACCATTAGACTTCTAGACAGGCAGCTAGCAGTGGTGCATTAGGAATTTTGCTACAACAGGATAAAGCAGAGTCTGATTGTATTGAACGGGCTGGACTATGTTCTTGGATCAAATAAATTACAATAAGCTTCAGTTGTTGTTTCAGAAGAAACGAAAGATTGCAGTTCTCTGAACTTGCAAGCCTATAAGACAAACATTTTCCTGCCTTGGACTAACAATTTAATTTGCTTTAGAAAATAATAGAGAGATTCAGGGATTGATCAACACTCTTCCAAACCATGTGGGGACACAACCAACCTACTTTTCAGGCTACATATTCATGAGATGCTGGAGGATTAGGTAAATACTATCAATTTTAAACCCACAATGGACCTTAGCCAGATTGGATTGTGCAGAAATCACCAGTCCAATTGTCACTATGGTAAAAATATTTGTGTTAGCATCAAATGTTACCTTCAAACAGATGCCCTTACATATACGAGTTCTACTTGTTGGTTTCAGCATAATAATTGATTAGTTATTGACTTAGTAACTTCAAGGATTACATTTAACGTTTCACTTTCTTTTTTCATTCTCTATTTTTGTCTTGGTATGACCTTGAAATATACTCAGGCCTCATTTGTTTGCACTTAATGGAGGTCTGAATCTTAATCATTCAGATCTCAGACATTAAGTACGTTTGTTTTTAAAGTCTGAATCTTAATCATGAAGATCTTGATCATTAAGCGTGTTTTTTTTTTAACTTCACAACCACTTAATGGGTCTGAATAGGTCTGTATGATTAAGAGAATAGGTCTGTATGATTAAGATCCACAACAAAGACTTCATTTCATTAAGATGCTATCATCCACATTCATTATTAATTGTCGTCACCGCCTACCATTATCAACTATCACCATGCCACCTACTACCACCATACTCAACCACCGCCGCCACCACCACCACCACCATTACTACCATACTCAATTATAGCCGCCACCATTATCGACAACCACCACCCACCATCTTCACTACACCCACCACCATCATTCTCAACCACAACCACAAATTCATTCACCTAAACTAATCACCCCATCACCATCAACAACCATAGCCAACACTGCCCACCATTATAAACTACCACCACCTTCCTCAATCACAACTACCACCACCGTCGCCACCTACCATTATTAATTATTGCCACCCACCACCACTATCCTCAACCATAATCGCTATCACTACCAATCACCACTAACTGCTACCCAGAACCACCACCAACTACCGCCTCTAGTCGACATTCACAAGCACCACCGTTAGCCATCACCACCACTAACTATCATATTTTAAAAATATATATATATAATATTGATAGAATATCAGATTAAATAGTATTTTATTTGAATTTTGTGTTTATTAATTTTCAAATAAAGATAAATTTTATACATTCAGATGTTAAAAAACAAACAGCCTTAATCATTTAGTATTCAAATCTTGATACACATCTTAATATATTCAGATGTGTATTCAGATTCAGATATCTTAATCTTAAAGCACATCTTGATATTCAGATTCAGACGTCTTAATCTTTAAAAAAAACAAATGAGGCTTTATTGAACTATTAGCAAGATAATGCACAGCCATCAGTGATAGGGCAAAAATGGCAGCAATAATACAACAACAACAACAACAACAACCCAGTGAAATCCCACAAGTGGGGTCTGGGAAGGGTAGTGTGTACGCAGACCTTACACCTACCTATGAAGGTAGAGAGGTTGTTTCCGAAAGACCCTCTGCTCAAGAACGTAAAACAAATGGAGCAATATAGAAACAATAGCAACAACAATGTAATAAGACAGTGTAAACAAATAATACTACGAATAATGACAGAGATCCACGAAAATGAAATAACAAGAATAGTGCCACTCTCACGGCTAATACTGACATATCGTATATAAACAAGGGACTAGGAATAGGAAGGTACCCGACTAGTACAACTACTACTAGTAAGACAAGGCAAACTCTAGACTGTCTATCAACCCACCACCCTAATTTTCAACCTCCACACCTTTCTATCGAGGGTCATGTCCTCGATAAGCTGGAGCAAAACCATATCCTTCCTAATCACCTTACCCCAATTCTTCTTAGCCAGATAATGCACAACCAACAGTGATAGGGCAAAAATAGCAGTAACAATCTAGATTTTAAAACCAGGATCATTGAGGGCCACTAGAGTGAGAAAGATATACATGAGAAAGATAACCCATGCAGAAAGAATAATACATATCAGAGACCCCAAAGCTTTGCTACAGTAGTAGGCACGCAACCTGTGATGCGTGGATTAGGCGCATGTCATGGGTTCGAACCCAACAGCAGACAAAAGCCTGGTATTTATGTGGAGAAGGGTAGAGGGGCTGACCCATTATCCACCCAGTTTCGAACCATGCTCTACTCCTGGATTTCTTGGTTTTCAAAGAAAAAAAACTAATACATATCAGTTTTTTTTTTTTTTGGGGGG